GTATTTATTCATTTTTTTAAAAATAATTATTTTAGTTGACTTTACTTATATTTGACCAGAGAGGGAGAGAGAGAGAGAGTTCAAAAACAAGCCGCCAGATCCGGTACTTGAACCATGGTTGGCCATGTGGAAGTCCAGCTCCTTTAATCATGATGCCACCTGCTGGCCCTTCACTTATTATTTTAAAAATTTGACCAGAGAGAAATGAGAGAGAGAGAGAAAGCGAGAAAGCAAGTCACCAGATCTGAGACTCAAACTGTGGTCTGCCATGTGGGAGTGTCCAGCGCCTTAACTACCACACCACCTGGAGTTCCCTTGGCTGTCTTCTCTTTCTTCATACTCTCTGTGGTGATGTTACCCAGTCTTATGACTTTTTTTTTTTGGAGAGATTTTCACTGTAGGGCACGTGCGCTCGCCAGACAGACAGAGAGAGACAGAGAGACAGAAAGCGAGAAATCACCCCCCAGGGGGGATGGTCACGCCGCAATCCCTTCTCCTCCATTCTCCTCTCGGGATCTTGGGCATGCACGCACACGTGCCTGGCGTGAGTTTTAAGCCACCGGGTCCGGGACACGAACCGTGGTCGACTATGTGGGAGTCCAGCGACATAGCCATTACGCTAACTGGTTCCCATGACTTTTTTTAAAAATAATTTTTCATTATTATTTAACTTTATTTATTTTAATCTGAGCAGAGAGGGACAAAGAGAGAGAGAGAGAGAGAGAAAGAAAGCTGCTAGGTCCAAGACTTGAATCCTGTTCAGCCATGTAGGTGTCCAGCACCCTTACCCACCATGCCACCTGCTAGTTCCACAGTCTTATTATGCCTTAAAGACTATGTATATAATTATTTTCTTCAAAAAGTTCACAGGGTATGTGTATTCTGAGAAAATTATGCATGGATTTCAAATGTTTTGTACCAGAATAAAATTCTTGTTTAATTCCATTTATCTATGAAATTCTTAAATTACCTTTGTGATGTGTGCAACAACTCCAAAATCTCCTCTCTAATTATGACTTTATATGTTTTAATTTCAATTTAATTTTTATTTTAGAGAAATTTTTGCTATAGAATGTATGTGCTCACTGGATAGATAGAGAGAAAGTGAAAAATCACTCTCAAGGGGGCATGGCCGCGCTGCAATCCCTTCTCCTCCATTTTCCTTTCAGGATCTTGGGCACACATGCACACACGCCCAGCGTGATTTTAAGCCACAGGGTCCAAGACTTGAACCGCGGTTGACTATGTGGGAGTCTAGTGACATAGCCATTATGCTAATTGCTGGTCTGGAGATTTTCTTTTCTTTTTGAGAGATTTTTGCTATTGCACAAGCACTCACCAGAGAGACAGAGACAGAGAGACAGAAAACGAGAAATTCACCCCTAGGGCGATGGCCATACTGCAATCCCTTCTCTATTTTCCTCTTGGGATTTTGGGCATTCATGTACATAAGCCTGGTATGAGTTTTTTGTTTGTTTGTTTTTGTTTTTAAAGAATTATTTTATTTAGGGACCAGCAGATGCCATAATGGTTACATCGCTGGACTCCCATGTAGTTGACCACAGTTCGAGTCCTGGACCCAGTGGTTTAAACTCACGCCGGGAACATGTGCATACATGTCCAAGACCCCGAGAGAAGAATGGAGGAGAAGGAATTGCAGCACCCCTCCCGGGGTGTGTGTGTGTGTGTGTGTGTGTGATTTCTCGCTTTCTGTCTGTCTCTTTCTGGTGAGCGCACACACCTTACAGCAAAAATCTCTCCAAAAAATAATTATTTTATTTAACTTTTTTTTTTTTTTTTTTTTAAATTTATTTATTGTTTTTATTTGACCAGAGTAAGACAGAAAGAGAAAGTGAGAAGGCAAGTCAACTAGATTTGGGATTCAAACCACAGTTGACCATGTGGAAGTCCAAAGCCTCAACCACTGTGCCACCTGCTGGCCCCTTAACTTTTTGTTTATTTTATTTTAATTTGACCAGCGAGGCACAGAGAGAGACAGAGAGACAGAGACAGAGAGGGAGAGAGAAAGAAAGTAAGAAAGCAAGCTGTGAGGTCCAGGACTTAAACTGCAGGTGGCCATGTGGGAGTCCAGCACCCTTAACCATCACGCCACTTGCCAGCCCCCAAAAAGATGGGGCATAAAGTGATCCTTTGGTGTGAAAGGCTGTGGGCAGAGATAGAGGAAAAGGATTAGAAGAATGCAGAGAAGTGAATAATAAATAGTGAAACACAGGGATCAGCAGTTAGCGTAATGGCTATGTCACTGGACTCCCATGTAGTCCACTATGGTTCGAGTCCCGGACCCTGTGGCTTAAAACTCACTCTGGGTGCGTGTGCGTGCGTACCCAAGATCCCAAGAGGAGAATGGAAAAGGGATTGCGGCATGGCCATCCCCCTGGGGGGTGATTTCTTGCTTTCTGTCTCTCTGTCTCTCTCTGTTTGGAGAGTGCATGCAAGCTATATAACAAAAACCTCTCCAAAAAAAAATAGTGAAACACAAACTGAAATACATAATTATTAATTTTATATAGGTTATAGACTTTTTTTTTTGAGAGAGATTTTTGCTATAGGGCATGTGCACTTACCAGAGAGACAAAAACAAGAAATCAATCCTTCCCACCCTCAGGGGGGTTGGCCACATCACAATCCCTTCTCTTCAACTCTCCTCTTGGGACTTTGGGCATGAATGTACAAAGCACCTGGTGTGTTTCAAGGAGAAAAGGTTTGTGACTTGAAGGGGGATCGGCCATGTGGGAGTCCATCAGTGTAACCATTATGCCATCGGCTGGACCCAAATTGTAGGCAGTGCTCTATGGGATTTACAGGGCATGTGGGGCAGCAAGGGACAGTGGCTGCAAGTCAAGATTAGACAGTTGTTGGGCCTACAGATCATCTTGTAGGCTAGTGCTTAGAAGAAACTGGATTCCAGAAGGCCAACCATGGTTTCAATCTTGGCCTAACAACTTGAAAAACACGTTGGATGCATGTGTGTGCATGCCTGAAATCCCAATAGGATGGAAAAATGGAGAAGAGATTGCAGTGTGACTGTGTCCCACTAGGAAGGTGCTTTCTCCCCCTCCTTCTCTGTTTTTCTGTCTCTGGCCAATACACATGCCCTCTGGCAATAAAATGAAACAAAATATTAGATAGGTTTAAGTAGGGAAGACTACTTGATTGTATTAACCAGGGTTCTCCAGAGAAACAGACCAATAGTAAAAAGAGAGATATTGTTTATAAGGAATGGACTTAAACAGAAGTTTATTTTCTCACAATCATGGAGGCTATCAGTCCAAGATTAAGGTGTTGGTAGGATTTTTCCCCAGTGCTTCTCTCCTTGTGTTATAGATGGCCACCTTCTTCCAATATCCCGACAGGTCTTCTCTCTCAATGTCTCCGAATGTCTTGAAACCCTCCTGAACGGCAGACAAAAGGAACTTGGCAGCAGTATTTTTTCAAACTGAGGGTCATAGTCCATTGTGAGCTACAAAACAACTTAATGGGTCTCAACCAGCATCCAAGTACATCATTGTATAAAAGTGTTCTTTTGTGAAACTTCGTTGCTGTTGCTATGCAAACAAAAATATCAGAGATCACAGTTAAGTTTAAAACCACTGTGGCAAGAGGAGTGTGGATTGATGTTGGCAGGTTAAGGGGCAGCTGGTGGTGAGAACTGAGGTGAGACTTCTATGTCCTCTTTCCTCAACTTTAGAGAGGGCAACATAGTGTTCGGGAAGATCAAAGGCAGGCTCCAGAATTACCATTCTGGTCCCAGCTCTGCTATTATTATGTGTGATTTTGGCTAATTAACCTTTCTGAGTCTCAATTTCTCCATCTGAAAAATAGTGACAATTATACTACCTACATTACAGGGTTGCTGTGCCCAATAGACCATAAATGACTTCCTGCCAGTTGTCCCATCTTATTTGTGTTTGCATATTCCTAGTTGCTCACAAACTCCCCTTGCAGCCAGGGAAAGCATTTTGCATGTGGTGTGTCCACCTTCGCCTTCATGTGCAATATGATTTGGATGAACACGACTTCAGATGTGGAGGTGTTCTGGAAAGTTCTGAGATGGTGTTGTAGCAGTTTTCATCCTGTTGGAAGACTTTCATCCTGGATAAAGGGAATTCCAAACACTCCAGCTATCCGAGGCCATAGAGTACCCTCAGGCAGCCTCTGAGCTCGGAGACCTGCCTTAGGGGTGCTGGAGGTTCAGCTGCCGGGATGAACAAGAGAACCTGGCTTTCTTTCAGCTTCTCTCATCAGAGCACACAGGATTGCTTCTTGGGAGTTCAGGGCTTCTAAAGTGGCCCAACCAGACAGGGAAGAAACACACCCTGAAGCCTTGGTGTAGGTCATTCTGCCCCTCCCAAATTCTGTGGGCAGGGCTGACAGCACCGTGGGAATGTCCCACTTGTCAATGCCTGACCCAGACAAGGGTCTATCCCTTTGAGCCCTATACTCAGGTAGCCCAAAGGCTGGGACTGAGGGTGCAGTTACCCTGGATTTCACTTGGGCTGAATCAGAGAAGTGATTCCAGGGGAAGAGGAAGAGGTATTTAGTTACCCAGAGTTTCCCCAGGACCTAGACTCAACTTTCCAAGGATGGAAGCTCAAAGATGAGACCCTTGTCCTAGTGTGAGCTAGTTCCCAAGGACAGCCCCCAACGCTGGGGAAGGGGAAGAACAGGGAGCCAGAGGGCCCACATAAGAGCCAGACCAGCAGAAAACGGCAGTGGAGGAGGAGGGTTGCTGGTTCCCTGAGGATTAAGCAGGCCATGAGGATGAGGAAGAAGGGTTTATCTCAGACGTGGTGCGCCCCCTCCCCCCAGAGTGTCTGAGGTGCCCACCTCCACCTGCTGTGACTCCTTCCTGCTTCCTGTGGGCAACCAGATTCTTCTCCCTGTCCAGCTCAGAGCCATCCTCAGCCAAGTGGAGCCACAAAATCTGCAGGCCATTTTCCCTACCTTCCACAGTTATTTGTAGAGCGTGTGCCACGTACCTAGTGCCACGGAGAGGGACATGATGCCTTCCTTCTAGCGGCCTATAGTCTGGTGGGAGAAGCACGTGCTGGAGAAGAGGGTCGGTCTCTGGTGGGAAAAGGCAAACGCAGCGCGCAGCTCTTAGTGCAGAGAGCAGTAACAAGACTGTTGTGGGAATACACAAAATAAATAGGACGAGGAGGCCAAATCCCAGGGGCTTGGGGGTTTCCACAGGGGGCATCTGACACCCAACACTCCGCTGCATAGCCATGGAGAGATGGTTTTGAAGTGGACAGGGGTGGGCTGAGACGGAGTGTGAAGAGCGGGAATTGGAGAGATGAGAGGAAGAGGAGCAGGCCTGGAAGGGAAGGGTGGTGTTAGAAGGGACCGGTCAGGGCGGAAGAGAGGCGCACTGGCGACACCGAGCCCTGAAAGTCTGAAAGTCGGAGGCCGCGGCGGAGGGGGTGGGGAGCGGGCTCTACACGTGCGCTACGTGCAGCGCCCGGCTGGTCTCTGCAGCCCCGGGCCAGTCCCGGGCAGAACGCTGGGAGACCCGGGAGGGAGAAAGTTGCCCTCCGTTTGGAACCCAGGAGCGTGGTCTTTCCATCGCAGTCACCGGAAGGAGCGCGGGGAGTGCCTCATTACCAGGCGGGCGGATCTAGGGGCGAAGGCAGCACATCTGGGGGCGCCGCCCCCCCTGGGGGGGGCTCCGGCAGGTCGGGGCGCGGGCTCTGGGGGCTGGGTGGGCCGGATGAGAATAGAGATCCCCAGGAATGTGTCCACTGGATCCGGAGCTGCACAAATGGGGGCGGCTCGGGGAACGGAGACCAGGGAGGAGGCGGAGTGTTGTCCAAGAGCAAGGAGGGGGTTCCTGGAGACGTGGCACTCGGAGCCGGGCTAGGTTCCGCTTCGGCCCTTTGAGCTGCAGCCCCGCTTTCCTCCGGGAGCCCGACTCTGACCTGCCCAGGCCTCGCTCCCAGCCGCGTGAGAGCTTCAGCCCCGGGACTTCCAGGCCGGGGTTGCCCAGGTCCGGCCTCTGGGGCGTCCAGCCGGCCCCAAACGAGACAATGCGGCCCGGGCCCCGCCCCCGGAGGCTGATGCGCCCGGGCCGCGGCCAATCACAGCCTGTGGCTAAGGCCTTTTAAAAAAAAAAGACCCGCCCCGGG